AACATCAATTAACTAAATAATAACATATTTCCACAACCTTCTTGCTGACTACAATTTAGCCAAAAGTATATGGATACAAGATTCAAGTTTTATCACTCAAATATATACCAAATGTTCCTCTTTGTAAGGTTTAACTATCCAGAACATAAATTCAAACACATATTTCCTGAAAGAAAAAAACATATATACCAAAATATTTCAGACCCACATACAACCCCCAGTTAAAAATCTCTAATATGTGATAAGAGTCTAAGAGAAAGATCCTAAATGACACGATCACTCCAGAATCTTTAACCCTCAGAAAAGTTTCAACAAATTTTATATTAAAGGTCAACCATTTCTTAATTCCCAAACATACTGTGATAAAATTTCTGTCCATTCAATGTGGGTATAAGTAGAGCACAAATAATGAATAATCACTGGGTGCAGTGGCATGACTATAATTGCAGCTACCTAGGAAGCTGAGGCAGGGGGATCACTTGAGTCCAACAGTTTTAACTCAACATCAGCAATTTAGTGAGATACTGTCTCAAAATAAATAAAATAAAATGAAAAGGGCCGAGGATGTAGCTCAGCGGTAGAGCGTCCATGATTTCAATTCCCAGTACCTCAAACAAAGAATAAAAATAAATACAAAGGCAACCACAGTTATTCTGGACACCATAACACCAAGTCCTTTTTGGGGTTTTTTTTTTTTTTTTTGTAATTAACTATAACATATGTCAAACACATAAAAAATATAAAAATTTAACACCAATGACCCACCATCCACTTTAAGACAAAGCATAACCAAAACAGTTAAAGTCCCTCCTTTACTTCCACCAATTGTACTCCACTCCCTTCACAAAAAGATATCTATTCCCCTGAATATGATATTAATGTTTTATCACCTACATTTACCACACGCTTACATATCCCTAAACCGATTTTGCTCCCTCCAAGGGATTTTTGGAAATGTCCGGAGATATTATAGATTATCATAAGGGGTGGATACTACTGCATCTAATAGGTAGAGACCAGGAACGTTGGCCCACTACAAAATACAGGACATACCTACAATAAAGAATTATCCTATCTAGGGTTGGGGATATAGTTCAAATAGTAGAGTACTTGCCCCGCAAGCACAAGACCCTAGATTCAATCCCCAGCACCAACAAAAGACAATATTATTATCCTATCTAGTTCAAATATGTCAGCCACATGCAGTGGCACACGTCTGTAATCCTAGCAACATGGGAGGCTGAAGCAGGAGGATAACAAGTTTGAGACCAGCCTTGGCAACTCAGCAAGACCCTCAGCAACTTAGGGAGATCTGTCTGAAGAAAATAAATAAAACAGAATTTTTAAAAAGTACCCCTGGGTTAAATTCCCAGTACCAAAAAAAATATATTATATAATATATAAGATTATTTACCTCCTTCACATTGACAATAAACTGAAAAGTATAAAAGCCAACTGTGAATAAACCTGCTGATGAGAGGCAAGTTAATACTCTTATTAATGAGTCAAATGAATAATATATACCTCCTGGTCAGGTTCACTAAGAACAAAATACCATTTCTATGGTACTCTTGTCCAAAATACATAATCTGAATGTAATCATGAGGAAACATGAGTCAAATCTAATTTGAGAGACAGTCTACGTGGTCATTGTCCAACATCGAGATCATAAAACACAAAAGAACAAGAAACTGGTCCAGACTCAAGAAGACTACTAAATACAATGTATAATCCTGGACCACAAAAAGAACGTTAGTGGAACAACTGATAAAGCTAGCATAAGGCATGTAGGTCAGTACTATTGTATTACTGCCAATTTCCTGGTTTCAATAATTATAGTTAGCAAGACCCTAACATTATGAAGTTTTAACTTCAACTATTATATAAATATCAAGTATTGAATATAATAAGTAGAGTAAATCTTGAAAAACGTAATGAAATGTCAATGGACATTAATTATTAAATATTTTGAAGGAGAAAAAATAAAACTCTGAAAGTAATATTATAGTCCCGGGGCAAAACCAGAGCCAAGAACTTATGATTTGTTCAATCCTTTAATAATAAAAGACCTGATGAAATGAAACCATAAAAACTAAAATACATTTCATATGAAGGCTACCACTCCTGCATCTAGGAGCATTTTTAAAATGTTTGCTAAAGGCTGGGACATACTTCAGTGGTAGAACATATGCAAGGTCCTGGGTTAAATACCCAGCAACAAAAAAATAAGGTGTCTGCTAAAGTAATCAGACAAGATGAACCACTATATATTAACAATGTGTTAAATTACCTTGTAAATTAAACTAAGAGTCTAAAACAGTTGCCTCTGAAAAACACCTATTTTTATATTAGGATAATGAAATCATTAATGATATACTTTCTACTACAAAACATATAGACAACATTAACATCCCTTCAAAAATCACTACAGATATTGGTCAAATTACATTATAACATGTGCACATATAAATATGTAACAACAAATCCCACCATTAAGTACAATTATAATGCACTAATAAAAAAAAGTGGGAGGAAAAAAAAAAATCACTATAAGCCAGGCATGGGCCCATGCTTACAATCCTAGTAACCAAAAGGCTGAGGCATGAAAATCATAAGTTCAAGATCAGCCTGCTTCAGCAATTTAGTGAGACCCTGTCTCAAAATTAAAAATTAATAAATAAGGATATGGCTCAGTGGTAGGATCCCTGGATTGAGTCCCCAGTGTGTACACACACACACACACACACACACACACACACACACACACACAAAATCACTATAGAAGGTAATAAAAATAAGTCTGGTATTCTATTGCATTGGGAGTATGATTTTCAACAATAGTAATATGCTACATATTTTTATAAAACTAGAAAAAAAGAATTTTGAATATTTTCACCACAGATGACAAAAAGGATAACTGTAGTTCAGGGCATGTTTGGGGTTATTGTGTTTTTGTTTTTGTTTTTGGGGGGAGGTCATACTGGGGACTGAACACTGGGACACTTTATCACTGAGCTACATTCCCAGCCCTTTTTATTTTTATTGAGACAAGGCCTAAGTTTCTGAGACTCGCTTCAAACTTGCAATCCTGCTTCAGCTGGGATCACAGGTATTGTGCCCTGTTCAGGGTCTGTTAACCTTTACATTTACCTTAGAAAGATATTCAAATTTCCCCAAAGTCTACAATTACTGATCCCAAGAATTCCTCCTAATTATTGACTTGTGGTCAGGCTTCAGCATGAGCTGGCATGCAAAATTTAAGTGAGCAGAACAGGCATATGTTGCTGGGAGTGTAAAGTGTAAAATGTTTTCACAATGAAATTAGTCAACATCTATCAAAATGTTTAAATATGTGCAAGCTTTGATGCAACAATTCCACTTCTGAAGTACTTAGCACGTATGCAAAGATACATATACAAGGATTTTATTCAGGGCATCATTGTAAGTAAGAAGACCTAATATAAATGCCTATAAATAAAGTACTGATTAAACAAATTTCTGCATCCAGTCACTGGAATACTATGCAGCCACAAAAGAATAAGGAAGACCTACACATACATGCTAACATGGCACAATTATCAATATAGTACTACGTGAAGAAACAAAGGTCAAGAGTAAAATAGTTTAATACCATTTATACTTAAAAGGGGGAATAGATTTATATTTTCAGTATATTCATATCTATGCTTACAAAGCATGGCATATTCTGTAAGAATAAACAAACAGAAAACAATTCTTTTGGTCATGCACATAGATCCCTTTGTGGTGTATAAAAAACTGTTTAACAAACACAATTTTATAAATTACTTGTGCAAAAACTGAATCGGCTTGTTGTTAATTTCTTTTTTATTGATGCTAGCAAAAACTATGAGCACATTTCAAGATTTGTCAAGTGGGGATGGGGATATAGCTCAGTGGTAAAATGCTTACCTAGAATGTGTAAGGCCCTGGGTTCAATCCCCAGCACCATATAAAATAATAAATAAATAAATAAATAAATAATTTTGTTAGGCTTTGTCAAATTCAATTATAATATCTTAGAAGCATCTCGTTTAGAAATTCTAAAAGTATCCAATTTAAAATTTTCTACTGAATACAATTACCTAGGATAAATCTGTGAAAATGAATTAGATTAAATAAAGCAGGATATCAAAAAGGGTAACTGTAGTTCAGGGCATGTTTTGGGGTATTGTGTTTTGGGGTTTTTGGGGGAGGGCTAATACTGGGGACTGAACACAGGGATACTTCAGAATGAAAGCAAGCCTTCAGTTTATCATATTTTAAAAAATTAGAGTCTACAACAAGAGCCCTATAATGTAATGAATCAAGGACAACAACTGAATGGGTAGGAACCTGACATCACCCTACTGAGAGAGAATGCTAACAAACTAAGAAATCAGGTGTTTCCAAAAAAAAGAAATTAGGTGTTTCCAAACAAGTGGGTCAAGAGCTCACACTATTTTTTCCTCTACTGATAGAAACATATAAAATTAAACAATTTAGATAAAAAATAATTTCAGAGAGTTCTAAATAGCAATCATTCGAGGACTGAACTCCAAGTCACGGTGTCACAGTAGGCAACAACAACAACAAAAAGCTATCACCGCAAACTGGAAGCACCATATGGCAAGGCAAGCCTCCCTTCAGACAGTTATCACTTGATGGCTGATTAATTTCAATGGCTTATTAGACAGGCCTCTCCAAACCCCGTGCCTACAGGAGGAGGAGGAGGGGAGGGGAACTGTGTCTGTTGTATTCTCGGTGCTTTGTGTCTTGCAGGCTGGAAACATCTTGGTAATGGAACTGCCATTAATTCCCTTGGGAAGAAGGAGGTCGTTTCTGCAAGTTTTTGTGTACCCGGCACAGAATCTAAAATTCCATGTGGCCCTCCCCTTTCTGTTCACTCCAGCCGGGCACTGCACGCGAGGCGGCCCCGAAGCCCAACGCAGCAGAGTCCCCTCCCTAAAGCGCGCAGACCCAGCCAGGTGGCAGTGACTTACCGGTGGGCGCGCTGTCCAGGATGCGCAGGTCGTAGGCCCCAGAGCAGCGGTAGTTGGCGGCGGTGCCGTTGTCCCACACCACCACCACCTCCTCGGGGCTCTCGAAGCTCCGGACGGTGCCCACATGACCCTCTCCGCCGTCCTGCTTCCCCCACTTCCAATCTGGGCCGCGCACTACCCGGGCCCCGACCCCTTCCACCATCACCCGGTTATTTCGGGAGTTACTCATCGGGGCCCGGGCGGTG